TAATTCTTATTCACTTATTGATTAATTTGTATCTTATAAAATAGCCCAATATAACAATGGCTTCGATGGCAACACTTGGTTCTAACTTGCCATCGGGTATAGCTGGACAATTATATCCACAAGTTGCTACAGTTTCTTATCCACCACCAAGAGCATTAAATACAAATGCATTTCAACCTTCTGTAGCTGGTGTACCACAACAAGTACAACAAAATGTACCTTCATCTTCTACCAAACAAAGAGTTTTTACTGGCACAGTTACTCAAGTATATGATAATTTTGGTTTTGTAGATGAAGATGTATTTTTTCAAACAAAGTAATGATATTATGTAAAAAATACTTTTTATTATATTTATTATTTGAAATTTATTATATAACATAAAACAATTTTCATAGTGCATGCGTTAAAGGGTCTAATCCTGTGGTGGGTGACCGTGTACTCGTAGAGGCATCATATAATCCTTCAATGCCATTTAAATGGAGTGCTACTAGAATACAAGTGCTCCCTATGGGAAATAATAATAATAGCAATACACAGCAAAGTAATCAAACTACTCGTCAACAACAGCAGCAACCACAGTCACAACAAAGTCGAGCCTCGGGAACATACAATGCTGTTCCCCCACCTGCTGAAAATGCTAATAATAGGTCAGTAATTATTTATATATATTTTATGCACTACATTAATAATATTACAATTATATATAAGATTTAGGTGTCATATGAGCATTCTTTGTAACATGATTTGTGTAAGTATAATTGTTTTATTGAAAGAACATGTAATTATTGATAGATTTACAACTAGTGCAACAAGTGCTAACACGACTAGTAACCGAAATAAAGTTGGAAGAGTAAGAGAAAGGTCTCCTCGAGATCGAAAAAACGAAGAGGAAGAAATTGAAAGAAAAAGACGTCGTGAAGAAAGAATTAGAGAACGTGAGAAAAAAGAGGAACGTAGTCCATCAAGAACTAGAAGAAGTAAATCTCCAAGACCAAGACGACGTACCAGAGTTGTTCCACGTTACATGGTACAGATACCAAAAATAGCACTTGATTTGTAAGTATATCACTTGACTAATAGAATTCAGCATTACATTTTTATACATTATGCAATGTAATTTTCTATAATATTTCAAAGCACAAAGTTTTATAACTGCATATAATTTTAGACCTGAAGCAGATGTACTTGAGATAAGAAGACGTTATCAAAATATGTATATTCCTAGTGACTTTTTTTCTACTAATTTTCGATGGGTTGATGCCTTTCCACCACATATGCCATTTACTCTTAATAAACCATGTTCTTTCCATGTCATGCATAAGGATGTTGATCCATGCACTGAAAATACAGCAGTACTAGAACCCTCAGATGCTGATTATCTTTTCTCTGCAAAGGTTTGTTGTATTATATATATATTATTGAAAATTACTAATAAAGTAATTTTAGAATAAATAACCATATCCTAACCCTT